GTCAATTATATGGTTTCACTTATTTGTGGAACATAAGGAATAGGATGGAGGACATTAGGAGAAGGAGGGGAAAAATGAAGAGGGGGAAATTGGAGGGAGAGATGAACGATGAGAGATTATGGACTCTGAGAAACAAACAGGGTTTTAGAGGGGTGGGGGGATGGGTTAGCCCGGTGATGGGTATTAAGGAGGGCACGTACTGCGTGGAGCACTGGGTGTTATACGAAAACAAAGAATCATGGAACACTACATCAAAAACTAATTATAACTATTATGACTAACATAACATAATAAAATAAAATTTAAAAAAGTACAGCTGCTTTTCTTTATCTTTTCTTTTTTTTAATTAATACAATCTTTCTCTTATAATTGCTACATGTAATTTATAGGGCTAAGTATGGAAACAGGTAGAGTAAGCTGTTGTTTTGGTGTGCTTTAGGAAAAGAACTTGAACTCAAAGTGACTATATTTATATTTATATTTATATTTATATTTATATTTATAAGGATGTGGGTAAAAAGGAGAGCAAAGAGGCTAAGAAGTGACTCCCCAAAGGATAGAAGAGCTCTTACAGAGGATATGGGAAGAAGACAAAAACTCCCTTTGCTTCTGTCATACACCCTGCTTAGTACTGGGTGTCTAACACATATTCTGAATCTCACATAGTATGTTCTGCATGCACAAAGATGAAAATAAACACGAGAACCTGCCTTCATCCCTCTGTGTGTGCATTATGTAGCTATGTCTTGCTGTCTAGGAGTTGGCTTTCTCCTTCTGTTCAAGTAAGCCATATCTCTGTTATTGTGGTTAAAACTCTGTGAAACCGTCTTCCGTTGCATTTTCTAGCCACAGATAGAAACTGCTCTTGCCGTAGCTTCACGTCATCCTTGAAGAATGCCTTCCACCTGTGTTTGCATGATTTTTCTCTGTCATTCACTTTGAGGAAGAGATACCTTGTCTTGATAGTGCCAGTGCCACTCATATATCGACCCATAAGGGTGAGTCTGTATTGTTCAGCTGTCATTATTATCATCAAACAAACATTAAACACCGTGACAGATAATCTCGTCTGCCAGCTGAACGAGAGTTCAGAAAGCACAGCTGCTCCTGATGTTTGCTGCCACAGGATAGAGGGATCATCATTTAGGATCCTTCCTCTCATGCTGCTCTTCTCTCTTACCAGCCTCTCTGTCTGGAATTCTCAATTATTTGCATCTATTGAAATCCTGCTCACTTTTAATCACTGATTCATGTGCCACCTCCAGGAAGTCCTTGTGAGTCTCAACTGTATGGGATATCCATATTTTATCATTTTCCTTAGGTCATAGTATTATACTCAGAGTGAATTTATGTTACATCCACTCCCCAGATGGTAAGGTGCTGAGACTAGTGCTTGGTCTTATTCATTTTGCATATCTGTCAGTACTTCACACACGGTTCTCACAACAGGGTGCTTTGGAATTTTTTTTTTTTCCTGAAGCCCTTTAATACCTGGCTCTGCCACATAGTCTTCCTGGATTAATCTGAATTTGAGTTGGGTTTTGTATTTGAGGTAGAAGTAGTTTGGCACATGGAAAATTGAAGAATGTAGGCAAAGGGACATAACAGAAGATGCCAGTCAATATCATGTACTGAGATCATATGATATGCAGTGAAAATGTAGTGGGAAATTGAAAGATAGGAAAGTAGAGAATGAGGGAGGTAGTTGAGATGGAACCTTGGAAAACACAATTAAGTTAACTATTTGTTAAATATTTAGATTTATATAGCAATTTTCTTTCAAGGAACTTAAAGGAATTGCAGTAATACGGGCACAGGTCAACCCATTGCTATCCACTTTATATCACCAGAGAGAAGATAATGCTTGGAAGCAAGGAAGAATTCAGTTTATATTTGTGGGATGACTATATGAAGTTCTTGGTATTTTGGAAGAAAGAGGCTGATTAAAGAACACTAGATTGCAGAAGGATGGTAGAGAAAACCAAGACTGGTTTCTAGGTTTAGCCTTAATCAATTTCAGGAAGATATACGGTGGTGGCAGGGGGAAGGAAGGGTGGAAAACAGTGGTGAGAGCTGATCTGATCTTGAAACTTCCTGGTAAAAAGATGGATGTGATGTTGGTACAAATGCAAATTATTAGACGCTGGCTCTACTCTGCTCAGCTACAAAAGTAGCAGGCCTCTGACAGAAGCCTGAGGTCTAGATAGGCTGTATCTCAGCAAGCTTATCTAACATATCTGATAGTGGAAGTTTTTCTGTTGTGGTGAGAATACTTAATATGAGATTTAACCTCTTAACAAATGGTTAGGTGTACAATACAGTGTTGTGAACCACAGCCACAATGTTACATAGTAGATTTGTAAAACTTAATCATCTTGGGTAACTTTTTTTTTAAGACATGCTCCCAGGCTGCCTTAAATCAAGACACCACTCCTTCTGTTAGATTTCTCCCTTGAAAAGGAAACACTTTGAATTATCCACAGTGAGTAACCCTGAAATAATACTGATAGTGTTCTTTTTCTCTGGGCATAATGCAGAGTGGGTGTAAAAGTGGGTACAGGAAGTGGTACAAATTAACAGAAATAATATAGTGAGAGTGCAGAAGGAAAAAGCCCAGCTTAAAATAGTTTGTCCAGTAAATAATTATCAAAAACCTCATGTGCCTCAGTAAATAACCCTCTGGAGGGAAACACATTGGTATGTTTGGAGAATAATGAGGGCAGTTTGGCTGAGAGCTGTGAGACATGGGAGAAGAGGAAGGTAAGGGGATAAGATCTGAAGGGTGGCCAGAGACAGACCAGGAGGTGATAAGCAGTTTAGATTTTATTCTAAGTGTGATGTCTACACCCTGGAAGCTTTTTTCTTTTTTTCCTACAGAGGGAGAGAGAGAGAAGTGGGGGAGGGACAGAGGAAGAGGGAGAACCTTAAGCAGGCTCCACATCCAGTATGGAGCCGACATCAGGCTTGATCTCACAACCCTGAGATCATGACCTGAGCTGAAATTAAGAGTCTCCCACTTAACTGACTGAGCCACCCAGGTGCCCCACCCTGGAAGATTTTGAATGAAGTGATATAACCTGATTTAATTTTTCAAATCTCTGTCTGGTTGCTCTGTGGAGAATGAAGTATAGGAGGGCGGGAACGGAAGCAATTTGACTGGTGGGCAGACTATTGCACTAGCTGCGGTAAGCATGGATAATACACAAGGATGGTAGCAGGAGAGCCAGCAAAAGTGACTAGATTTGGGAAATGTTTTGAAATATACAAGTTGACAAGACTTGCAGATAGATTTATTGTAGGGGAGAGGGAAAGAAATTCAAAGATAACTTTGGGTTTTTGGACTTAACAGCTGAGTCAGATAGAGCAGACTGGAGGGAGAAAGCTCTGTGGGGGGGGGGGGTGATTAAGGCTCCTGCTCTGTGCAGATGCCTAATAGACACTCCCTGGAGATGATGAGTGGGCTGTTGGATACATGAGTTTGGGGTTCAGGAGGAGGTGAGGGCTGGATATATGCTTGGGGTAGTCATTAGTAGAGAGATGGTATTTACATGCAGGAACTAGATATGGCCATATGTAAGAGTATTGATAGAGGAGAAAATGGAGCCTGGCCTGAGTCCTGGGCATTCTAGCATGTAGAAGTCAAGAAGAGGAAAAGGAGCAAGGAGAAGAGATGGAGGAGGGGAGGCAGCTGAAAACAAAGGAAAATTAGCATGGTAGAGTGTCAAAAACAAAAAAATGTCAGAAAGGAAGTGATAACTCAAACACTGCTGGAGGGTTGGGAGAAATGAAGTTTGAGAACTGGCCACTGGGCAGAGCAAGATGGAGGTGCTGCTAAATTGACTGAAGCAGGTTGAGCAGAGAGTAAGAGGCAAGGAAGTTGAAATAACTATGTCCACTAATTTTAGCCACAAAAGGGAGAAGAGAAATGAGGCTGTGGTTACAAACAGGAACGATTCATCCACTTCCATCCACAACAGTTCGAGGAAAGGTAGAATTTAAGGGTATAGATGCAGGTAGAGACCAATTTGATCTTGAAAACAAGAAGGCATTATCTTCAGATGGCAAGAAAAAAAAAAGGAAAACAACTGTACTTTCTTCAAAATCATCCATCACCATATTTGTTGCTTGATGAAATGTTAGATCATGGAAGAATGGAAACTGCAGTAGGGCTTGTGATTACTTGCTTGGTGTAAATTTATTTTCATGCTTCATGTTCATACACAAGTTGTTTAAACCAGTAATTTTAATCCTTAGGAAAGCTTGCTAAACAATTCTGTGCAGAAAAATAAATAACTTAAAAACATTTAAAACGTTTTAAATTGCTGTTTGGGCATCAAGCTGAAACATAATTTTGCTTTGATTACTATGTCCTGTCCCGCATTTATCTCTATAAGTATTAAAAAAAAAAAAAACATAGTGTAAAATTTAGTGGTAACAGGTGATTCTACAAATAGTTATTCTTCTGAGCTGTTACACAATAAGCATAAATATATAAACAAGAAACAGCTTGCTCTAGTTAGTTTCTTCAAATTGTAATATACAGAATTTCAATGCTATTTGTCTCTGCTCTGCTAAGTAACAGTGGACCAGCAATTCAGCTATTCTATGACCATTCAAATATGTAAAATTGTTGACAAAGGACCAGGGCTTTAAGATCTCAGGATCCTCTTAATGAAGCAGTATTAATATATATTTTTCTGATTTTTATATTGTAGAAAAATATATAAAACATAAAATGTATGATTTTTGAAGAGAGAGACAAGGTGGGGGAGGGGCGGAGGGAGAGGGAGAGAAAGAAGTGATAATCTCAAGCAGGCTCCATGCTTGATCTCACAACCTCGAGATCGTGATCTGAGCCAAAATCAAGAGTCCATGCTTAACTGACTGTGCCACCCAGGTGCCACTATTTTAACCATTTTTAAATGAACAGTTCAGTAATATTAAGTACATTTATACTACTGTTCAACCATCACCACTATCCATATCCAGAACTCTTTCATAAAAATATGGAAATCTTTATGAATTTGCATTCCGTTATTGAGGTGTGATGCTAATATTCTCTGTAATGCTCTAAATTTAGTATATGTGTGCTAAAGTGACCACTTACTCATATTTTAAAGAAAACACTTATTTACATAAAGAAGAAAAAAATTATAGAAACTGTGACTCTGAAAGATAAGCCAGAACCATTTGATTATTATTATCAAAATAAGGGCTTAGATCAATTCCATAATGTTCCATATCAAGATATTGAGGCATGGAGGGTGACTATGATGTTCTTCCATAAAATACCTTTTGGTTGTACACTCAGAACCAGAATATGGGATAGATTTTTGGAACCAAGATGATCATTGCCTTATTTTCCTAATTTTCTTGTTGAAAATGGAACAACTAAAGAATGATTCAAACCCAAATTGATTGAGTTCTTACTATATGCCAGGCATTATGCTACAAATGTACGTGAATTATCTAGCTGAATCCAACAAGAATGCAATGAGGTAACTCTCTTATTTTCATTTTAAAGGTAATAAAATTTAAGACTATATTGGAAAGGTATAATTAACTATTCATGATTTCATAACCAGGAAACTGTGGGTGAAAGAGGTATGTACCCTTTGACCAGCCTGACCCCACAGCCCTTGCTCTTAACCTCTGTGCTCTAGTGTGTCTATTATAAAGTGATGGAAGGCTATACCTCCCCCAAGTTTTAAAAATTAAAACTCATCCTATTCTCATTAACACATTGTTTTTGTTTGTGCAAACACTTATATGTTGAATAATGATAATCTCATCAAGGTATTGAGTTGGACTCACAATTATTTCTAAGTGTTTTACTAGCAAATATTTTCTTTATAGCTGCTAGGGGATGGGGGTTGGGGGGATGATGATGGGGGATGGAGGATAGGAGATGGGGAATGGGGATGGGGGAAGATTTCATCAGTGTTCTTGGCTGCAATTTCTCTGTATTCATTCTCATAATCTGCTGACTTCTAAAAGGATGCCTTTGAAATTAGAACATTTCTTAAAATAAAATCGCTGTGCCAGAAGACCCCATTTAGAACTTAATTTCAGCTCTTATCTACAATATTCCCGCATCTACATTCTGATTTTCACACCTGTTATGCACTATCTTAGTTTGTTTCCAGAATTTGCCCTAACAGAGCTTTATTATCATACACTAATTCAGGAAGCCCTTACATATTTGTATGAGGTTGATGAAGTTTCTGCTTGTTTTATTTAGACTTTATGTTGCAGGCTTTCCTCACACTGCACCCTGGTCTTTATTAGGAACTCTCAGTTGTAGTTAGGTGAAAAGAGCAAGGTTCTGGAAGACAGCTCGACCTGGTTTGATTTCGGCTCCTCCACTTATTACACATAATGCAAGATTATGGTCAACTTTTTAATTGCTAAGATTACAGACAGTTGGAATTTTAGATTTACACATGATGAAGTAGAAAATTATGCAACTGAGTGGAAATATATTTCCTGGTTGTTGAGGCGCATGGCATTGGGGATTGGGAAGTGGCTTTAATCTTACCCCAAGTAACAAAGAATCTTTAACAAAGAAGCAGGTCTGAGTGAGTTCCATGTTCCTCTTATGCTCCCTTCTTTCCCATACTCCTTCCCTGTTCTTCCCAGAGCTTCTTCACCCAGCAGGTTTGACCAACCGTAATCACTACCTCATGGATGAGATTAGATTCACAACGGCAGGTGGGTAGGAGGGGAGAAGAGGGAATGATTTTCCCAGTCCCATTTCTTTTACTCTCCTCCTTCCACACTGGATTCTGACACTGCTGGCTAGGGTGTCTCAGTAGAGGTCCACCCACAACCTTATTGTATTGGATACCAGCCTGGCTTTTCTCTTCATTTATAGTTTTATAAATTCTGAGAGAACTCTTTTTTATTGACTTAAGAAAATGTGGCATGTATACACACACACACACACACACACACACACACACACACACACACACACAGTGGAATGCTATTTGGCCTTCAAAAAGTAGGAAATCCTGCAATATGCTGCAACATGGATGAACCTTGAGGACATTATGCTCAGTGAAATAAGCCAATCACAGAAAGACAAATACTGCATGATTTCACTTATGCAAGGTAACCAAAAGTCAAATTCATAGAATCAAAGAGTGGAATGGTGTTTTCCAGGGGCTGGCTGGGGGAGGAAATGGGAAATTACTAGTCAATGGGCATAGAGTTGTAGTTAAGATGCATACATACATTCTAGAACTTTGTTGTACAACATTGTACCTGCAGTCAGCAGTACTGTACTGTATACTTAAAATTTTGCTAAGAGGATAGATCTCGTGTTAAGTGTTCTTTCCACAATGAAGTTAAAAAGAAATTCATTTTCCAGTGAGGAAAGCTAGATTACACTTGGGTTATGCTCAAACCTCCAAATTGAATCTGGTCTCTCTTATCTGGCAATTTTTCATAGAACTTAGCATTGTGGAACCAAAGAACTGAATTTCTGTGGCTTGATGTGCTTTCTTAGATTCTTTTACCCAGAAAAAAACATTTCTGACCATGTGCTAGAAACAATATATGCCTTAAAATCAGGATTATTGCTTAAGTGGTGAACTTTTGAAATTGTAAAGATATATCTCCCATGTTCTCATTTAGAAGATGAAATATTCCTCTGAAGTGTGATTCTCATTTTTTTTCAAAAATAACTTTCAATTATCTTCTAAAGTTTGTACCAAATATAATTCTTGATAAAGAGGATAGTATTCTGCTTTGGTAGAAGACATGACTCCGTTTGAACACCTCAGCTACCCCTAAAAAGGGGACTTGGCATTGTACAAATATCCTGGTAGAGACACATGATGTATGTGTGAGCAATTCTCCGTGTTTTCAGTGTCCAATTTTGTTGCCTCAATTTAATTGTGATTTGTGTTTTCTGAGCCAGAATTGTTTCAACTGAACACAAAGTTTCTATTGTCTGGCGTCCTACAACATGAGCATGCCTGAGTTGCAACCATTGCAAAGCGTTACATGGGTCAGTTTTTGTTATTGTCCCCACCGAGACCCTCCTTTCCTTCTTTTACATGAGTGAACCAAGAAGCAGTGACTATTATTTGACCAGTTTATTTAAAATCAAAGTGAGTAGTCACTCATTCACTTTGTGCCTCTTAGAAAGATGACCGGACATGTTTTTTAAACTCTGAATGCTACAACTAAATTTAGCCAAAGTGCATTGCTTTCTGAATGCTTCCAAAATGGAACACTGTGCTTTTGATTGCTGCTTTTGGAGTCTCATTAAGACTCTAAAAGGTCAAAGGAACAAGGACTGGAGCAAAATACATTCATTTATAATACCAGCACAATCAAAATATAACAATCAGCCACATACATCATGTGTCTCTACCAGGATATTTGTACAATGCCAAGTCCCCTTTTTTTGGATAGCTGATGTGTTCAAATGGAGTCATGTATCCTACCAAATGTCTACAGTGTTGTCACTAGTGGAGAAATATTTTAGACTGTCAGTTGTTTGCTCCATAAACTAATTTTTGAACAGAAGGTGATGTCAGAGTCAGATATTTTTGCCATAAAATGAAATCTCTATCTCCTAGATTTAAACTTTTTTGGGGGTAGGCATTTTTCCCAAGGCCTCTGCTCTAATACATACTTTAAAAATTTCATAAGGTGAAATTGGCACATGGAAAGTTGCCACTGAGGGATGACATCAGATTTTGACAAATAATACATTGGGAATACAAACTAACTTAAAACTCAGTTTTCCAAAGAAGAGTCTGACTAGCTTGAAATTCAGTTTTCTGTAATTTATTTCTGCTAGAAATAAGATTATTGTCATGTGTGTGTGATGATATCCTATAGAGCAATCAGTGGGAGTTTTCCTTTAATTTAAATTTAACCTTTAATATTTCCCTACCCTAATATATTAAGACCTCACTACTTTAAACATAACTTTATAAACGCCTCACTACTTGGCTTTTTGTATTCTGTATTTAGCTCTTATTTTCTTTGGCTCAAAATTATAATAAATACCTTTTTGTGTCCATAACTGATTGCTATAGTATTTAACATTCTTATATGTATTAGGATTTACCATATTCCAGACATTAGTCTAGGTACTAAGAATTCAGCAATGAATTATGCAGATAAAAATCTCTGCCTGGTGGCACCTGGGTGGCTCAGTCGGCTAAGTGTCTGCCCCCGGCTCAGGTCATGATCCCAAGGTCCTGGGATCCAGTCTTATGTCAGGCTCCCTGCTCAGTGGGGAGCCTGCTTCTCCCTCTCCTTCTACCCTTCCCTCTGCTCTGCTTGTGCTCTCTCTCTCTCTCAATAATAAAATCTTAAAAAATAAAATCTCTGCCTGCATAGTAGGCCTTTAATTCTGGTGTATATATACCTATACCTAAGATCGTCTATTCCACCCCCAACCTCCAGAAAAAAATTCCAAAATTTTTTCAGCAATCTTATCATTTAATTTTTAACTTTACATTTTATTTTTTTATTTTAATTTTTTTAATCTTATCATTTTAAAGGTTGGGTACTTTTTGAAGTAATCGCTGTGAATTTTTTTCAAGCTGAGGAGACAGTGTTTATGGTATTCCTTAGAGGTGAGAACTAGATCAATACTGTTTAATGTTTTTATCACTGAATATAATCAGTGTTTCTTAAAGTGTGTCTTATGGACCACCTATATTAGAATCCCCCAAGGTGGTAATTACCATCTCTGGGATCCACTTCCTAGCTCCGGATTCAGAATATCAGGATGAGGGTCAGGGATGTGTATTTTTTTTTAATTAATTTATTTATTTGTCAGAGAGAGAGAGAGCACAAGCAGGGGGAGCAGCAGGCTGAGCAGGCAGAAGGAAAAGCAGACACCCTGATGAGCAAGGAGCCTGATGCGGGACTTGATCCCAGGACGCCGGGATCATGACCCGAGCCGAAGGCAGACGCTCAACCTACTGAGCCACCCAGGTGTCCCAGGGATGTGTATTTTTAACCAGCAATCTGGGTGATCCTTTCACATGCTGAAGTCTAATTTAGACAAATTGCTGAGGAAAGTGAATTTCAGTTAGAAAATGTCCACGAGCAATTGGACAAAAGGAATAGAT